TGTGTGTGTGTGTGTGTGTGTGTGTGTGTGTGTGTGTGTGTGTGTGTGTACCTGCAGAGGCAGGTTCAGCAGGTAAAGGCAGGTCTTGAATCTCCCACAGTCTCACACTGCCATCTTCAGAGCACGACATCAGCTTGCTGAAACAGTTTCACACACAAAAAGGTTGTTCACTCTGAATGCAGCTTAGATAATCTGCTAGTGCTTAGAGAAAAGTGCTCTAACTCAACTAAACTCAAGACTTGATCTAGACAGGAGAAGAAAAAGTTCATACTGAAGAAATTCTTAAATAATTTCTTAGAAGTGATTGGGAACTTAAAGAGAAATATGTGTTTCCAATGAACAAACACAGACCAGTAGGTCAGCAGTATCTAAACTTACTGAACACTTCAAGCACTATATACTAAATAAATAGCAGACTGTTGTCTGTTTCTAATCACTACTGTGTAAATATTTGGACTAACTGATCTGTTTTACATGATGGTTGAATAAAACAAAGACAGTTATTAATTTATTGTAAGAAGATTACAGATCATTTGTGACACAGATCCAGTTGGGCTTGTGGTTAATCTAATAGTTGCTATGATGACTGTGAGCTGTTGCCCTGTCCTGTCATCAGTTCTGCCCCTCCATGTTGTCACAGCTGCTAACAGTGGACAGATAGGCAGGGCTCAGTCTACGGTTGGAACTAAATGAAAATAGCACCCTTGTGTGGATAATAATATAACTGCAGGCTTAATAAAACTTCAATAAAATTTCAGCAGCAGATTTGGGGGTATTCCTGCTTCTCCATTTAGTGAAGTAAAAGAACAATTTCAGCAAACCAAAAACCAATTGATGTTTTTGGTTTTTGGGTCTAAACCAGAAAAATCTCACTGTAACACTTTTGTTCAACAAAAACTCAGTTGTGGAGCCAGACATTTTTCTCTGGGGTGGCCAGACTGGGACCACTACTCCCACAGGGGTGGCCAGACTGGGACCACTACTCCCACAGGGGTGGCCAGACTGGGACCACTACTCCCACAGGGGTGACCAGACTGGGACCACTACTCCCACAGGGGTGACCAGACTGGGACCACTACTCCCACAGGGGTGGCCAGACTGGGACAACTACTCACACAGGGGTGGCCAGACTGGGACCACTACTCCCACAGGGGTGGTCAGACTGGGACCACTACTCACACAGGGGTGGCCAGACTGGGACAACTACTCACACAGTGGTGGCCAGGAACATTACATCATTTTTTACTTGAAAGTTTTCTGCAGACCTTTGTGTTTTGGTCATTTCTTTTTGTCTTTATTCAGGCAGTGACTGCCTCATAAACATGGTGTCAGAACTATTTTAAAAGTGGGGGGACGCTGTTGGGGGGTCTGAGGGTCCTCCCCCAGAAAATTTTGAATGAAACAGATGCCATTTCCTGCATTCTGGAGTACTTTACCAGGTTGTTAAACATACTCTTACCTACAAAAATAAACACTTGATTTAATAATTATTATTATTTAATTATTTCAGAGACAGATTACTCATTAATCTACTTCCATCATCCTGTTTTTAAACTCACTGCTACAGCTGAGATAAGATTAATTAATGTGACACAATTTATCATATCTAATGACTTTAGGGGTGCTTTTTACTTTTGTATTGTTGATTTATTTTTAATTGTAACATGACATTGTGCCAACTAATTATGACCCTCAGCTGCATGTTTAAAACTAATATTAATAATTTTACCCAATGAACAGGTGCAATATTGATAACCACCAACAGTGAGTTTATTGGGGTGTTTCACTTTTTCTGATTTAGTGATAGGTCTGCTCACACCCAGAAGGGACAGAGCATCATGCAGCCTTCATAGCATAAAAT